GAGAATGATGAAGGCAATGAATGCACAAATGTGATTTACACAACTGATGTATGTATGGATTGTGATAAGAGTTGTATGAGCCCCAAATAAAATGATAAAAAAATAAATAAAACAATTGATGTATGGATTGTTATAAGAGCTGTAAGAGCCCCCAATAAAATAATCTTTTTTAATTACTAAAAAAAATCCCCACTAAGGCCAAGGTTTGATTGGAAGGTTGTTTTGAGGGCACTCTAATATGATGACAGCAAATGTATTGTTGAGAACTCTCGTCTGCAGCTCTCCACGGATCTCAGGAGGAAAAAAAATCCCACTGCCATCCAGTCAATTCCTGCTCCTAGTGACCTTACTGGGCAGAACAGAACTGCCCATGTGGGTTTTCAAGGCTGTAACTCTTTATGAGAGTAGAAAGCCTTGTCCTTCTCACCTGGAGTGGCCAGTGGTTTCGAACTACTGACTTTGAGTTAGCAGTCCAGTACATAACCACTACACTACCAGGGCTCCACATAGGTCTCAGACGCATGTTTAAATGCCTTTTATTTGGAAGAAACCTGTGAATGTATTCAATGGAATCCTAACAGCAATACACTTTTACTTACTCTCCTATAATATTATTATCTGGTGTAATGCTAGAGTTTGTACAGATGAAGTTGCCAGAGTTCAGATGGGTTAAAGAATTTTCCAAGTGTTGTTCTGAGAAGCAGATCGCCCTCTCATCTGCCCACAACAATCCATGACTCTGAGGTTGTAAATATGACTGCCATTTTCTCCATCATATTTAGTTCCCTTAAGTAATTGTTACATTCAAAAGAATCCATATTTCTGGAGTAAAGAGGGCATATGCAAATTACAGTCTGTAGCTTTATTAGTTTGGGGACGTTAGCATGACAAATTGCCACAAACCAGTGGCTTAAAACCATGCAGACTTATCCTGCGGCAGTTATGGAGGCTACACGTTGGAAATGCAGGCATCAGCAGGGTATTTATTCTCTGAGGCGGTAGGAAAGAGTTGGTGACTTCACTGGCTTGCAGTGTTGCTGGCGATCCTGGACATGCCTTGGCTGTAGAAGCAGCATTCCAACCTCTGCTTCTGCCATCACCTGGCATTCTCCCTATGTGCCTGTGTCTGAGTATCTTCTCCTCCTCTTAGAAGGAAACTAGATCAATGAAATTATGGTTCATCCTAAGGGTCTCGGCTTAACTTGATTGTGTCTGCAAAGACCTTATATCCAAATAAGGTCATATTCACCAGTACCTGGGGCAAGCAATTCACAAAGCTCTTTGGGGACAACAATTTAACTCATAGTGGTAACTAAGAGACTTAGTGTATCAGAGCACTGCTAAAGATAAACGAAGAGGAAACGTTCCCATTTCAAATGACCGATGAAATATCAGGCACAGTTCTAGGCTCTCATACAAGTCCATTCTTTTAATGTCATTGGAAGAAAATGATATGAAGAAGGTCCATAGGCAAAGGATAGCGGTAAAGAGTCACAGATGGAAATTAAACAAAGGTAATGTCATTATCTTTTGTTAGAGGATAAATGTACAAATCCACAGAACTTAACTAATAGCTACATCCAAAGGGGGGATGCATAGATACTGAAAGGACAAATAATATGAAGATGCCCTTGCGTAGTGTCCCACAGAGAAATGGAGACCTCAAGAGAGACAAACATGTTTAGGCTCACAGAAGAAAATAGACTCAGGTGTCCATGCTCCAGTCTAGTAATCTATTTTCAATGTTATGTGCGATAGTTCTCAGGTAAACCTCAGACAACTTAGGCAAACAGGAACAGAGAATTACTCTTATTACAGGCACCGACACCAACCTCAGCACATGTGGACCTCACTGCACCTGAGGTTCAAAGACAGGGATATAGAGCTACCTGGGGAGAGAAAATGCTTCTAATTCCTCTGGGTCCTGTGAGACAATCATGCACAAAGTTAATGGATGTCTGTTTTTGTTTTTGTTTTTAACTCCACCAGCTAAACCTCAGGGGACTTCCTGAAACAGTTGCATATGATGTTCCCATAAGGAAAGTGGGGCCTGTGAACAGCTGATAAAAGATGACAAGAAGCCAGAAAAGGGAGCAATCAGCTTCAAGAAGCATTAAGAGTATTTGTATCTTCAGGGATCTTTTCTGTATATTTTTCCTTGATACACTCTTATCTTCCTTTTGACTAAGCATTCTCTGGAACGTAAATGAAGGGGATAGAATCACTACATGATGAGACAAGCCTGCAATGTTCTTTCCAGGTGAGAAAGCCACCCTGAGAGTGTATGGTGAGAAGGTGGACAGCCCAATCTCGAAGAGATGATTAGTTCTTAGCTCAAGCAAAGAGCTGATTTATGGGTATCTGAAATATGGATTTTCCTTTTTATATACTAGTTGAATTTTCTGCTTGGCTGGTCCACTTCAAGTTATAGTCCCTTGATCTCAAAATACAATTTACCATGCAAATGGCAGAGATATTGGGAGAATATTTTTTCAAGTTAACTCCTTTACTCTTTTTTGCCTTTCACCAATTTCCTCATATAATTATGTATACTCTAATTGAGAAGCTCAATCGTAAAATTCAATATGTAAAAAGTTTAAGCAGTCATTTGTGCTAAAAAAATATGTAAAACAGGGCCAAGTAATGGAAATTAATATGTATGAAGAGAAATTTTGAGACAGAATTTTTGGAAATACCTCTCATCTTAAGGTAATGAGGCAAATCAAATGAAGATCTGAAGGACCAGTGTTTCAGGTAGTAGGAAAGGCAAGTGAAAATATCCCAAAAAGAACTGCTTGCAATTTATGAAAAATGATAAACAGATGTGGTTAGAACACATGGAGAGAGGGAAAGAGTGAAAGAACATTAAATGAGAGAAGATTAGAAGGCCAAATTATGCAAAGTCTTATAGGACACAGCAAAGAGTTCAGGTTTTATGCTGAAACAGAATGGTTTGAGGGTGTGGGGGGCTGGAGCAGGAAGACTAATATAATTTGAATTTTCAAAAGATCAGCCTACATTCTCCTGATTATAAGAAAGTTGAAGTAAATGCAAGAAAAATAATTTAAGAATTTACTATGCTATTGTAGCTAAAAGGTGATGGTGCCTTGGACCAGAGGTATAGTGGTGTAAAAGAGAAGAAGCTCTAAGAATTAGGATTTATACTGAACAAGGAACCAACAGGACTTTCTGAGAGATTGTGTGAGGAGGTAAGGGAAAGAAAATAATCAAGAATGAATCTTGAAGTTTTGTGTGAGTTCTTGGGTGTGGTGGTGCCAATATTTAATATGGGATGTACTAAGGAATGAGGAAATAACATTAAAAAAGGGAAGACCTCATGGTTGTTTTTTCCTTTGAAATAATAAATGAGATGCCATTAGACATGCAAGTGTAGATCTTAAGTTGCAGTTGGATATATGAATGTAGAATTTGGGAGAGAATCCAGGATTAGAAATGTAAATTTGGATATTTTAGCATACAAATAATACATAAAGTGAACGGACTGCCTAAGGCCACAAACGACATAAGACAAAGAAAAGGATAGATGGATGAACGCTGGGGCACCCCAACATTTAAAAAAAGGAAAAGGCAGAGAATCAAACCTAAAGATTGAAAGGAAGAATCCAGTAAAGTAAGAGGGAAGTATGAAAAGTGGTATTGGGTACAAAAGAAAAGAAAACGGGTATTAGGAAGCTAAATTTTAAAAAGTGTTTCCAAAAGAAGAGAGTGGTCAATAATGTCAAATTCTTCCTCAAAGGCAAGTCAATGGTGATGGGGGGAAAAATAAATCCTACCATGGACTGATGGAGACAAAAGCCTGATTGAACTTGGTTAAATCGAGAATGTGAAATGAGGAACATGGCGGTAAAGAGCACAGAGAAGCCAAACTTTACTAGAAAAGGCAGTGAGGGAGAAGAGGTGGCCATTGGTATCAGAGTGCCCCATGCAGAAGGCCCCTGGGGAACATGGGGCACAAGCACAGGAAGCTGTAACAGCAAGGCTAAGTAATTATCTTGCCCCAGGTTTTCTCAGCTGCACACTAGCTCACTGACCCTCAATGATACCGATACATCTTCCAGGAAATCTCTTAGGGAGCTTTGGAAAACTAGGTACAGGGTTAATAACCACACGACATGGCCAGAAACATGCAAATATTAACCTGAACCTCGATGAACAGGAACTTGGATGGGGACTCAGGGCATTCCTCCGGTTCCTGGAGAAAAGCTCTTCACACTTGGGATCCTAAGAAAACAAAAACAAAACTTAATTGCCATTGAGTCTGTTCTGATTCATAGTAACTCCATAGGATAGAGTCAAATTGTCCCTGTGGGTTTCTGAAAACTATAACTCAGGTTTTTTTTAAAACATTCTATTGGGAGCTCTCACAACTCTTAACAACATTCCATACATCAATTGTATCAAGCATATTTGTACATATGTTGCCATCACCTTTTCCAAAACATTTTCTACTTGAGCCCTTGGTATAAGATCCTCTGAAACTATAACTCTTTATGGGAGTAGAAAACTTCATCTTTCTACCACAGAGTGGCTGTTGGTTTTGAACTGGTGACCTTGTGGTTCGCAACCCAATGTATAACCAACTATGCCACCAAGGCTCCTTAAATGATTTATTGTTGAGCTATTGCTTTCAGGTATGCTACGGAGAACTAGTGATACATAGGGAGAGGCAGGTGAGTGCGTTAGATCGCTTACTATGTGAAAGCCCCAAATAAAATAGAGAGGAGTCCAAGAACTCCAGGACCAAGTGCCTTTGGGGCCTGGTGTTTTGGGAGATTGTTGTTGTTAGGTGATGTTGAGTCAGTTCCAACTCCTGGTGACCCTATGTGCTGCAGAACAAACATTGCCAGGTCCTGTGCTGGTCTCACAATTGTTCTTACATTTGAGCCATCAACACTGCCACTGGGTCAATCCATCTTGTGGAAGGTTTTCCTCTTTTTTGATGCCCCACTACTTTACCAAGCATTATGTCCTCCAGAAACGGGTCTCTCCAGACAACATGTCCACAGTACATGAGACACAGATCGGCCATCTTTACCCCTAAGGATCAATCTGGCTGTGCTTCTTCAAAGACAGGTTTGGTGTTTCTTTTGCCAGTCCACGGTACTTCAAATATTCTTCGCCCGCACCATAATTCAAACGCATTGATTCTTCTTTGGCCTTTTCTATTCAATGTCCAACTTTCACATGCATATGAGGAGACTGAAAATGTCATGGCTTGGGTCAGGCGCACCTTAGTCCTCAAAATAACATCTTACTTTTCAACACTTTAAAGAGGTCTTCTGATCAGTGCAAGGAAAATACACTGTACTGTTCTGTAGTCATATGTCCGTCCTCATGTGTGTATGCCTATGCACATGTGTATTTTATAGAGGGCAGGATGTTCTTACCTATAAAAATGCACGTATTAGAACAATTTCTTAGTTATATCATAATTTGATTCATTATTCTTTATCTGATGTTCTTGCTTCCATGGTAAACCATGTGGAGAGAAATATCCTAATTTAAGGGAAGGATTATTTATAATCCGCAACTAGATGACATGGCTGTCTCGTGACCTGGTTATACAATGGGTTATACAGTGACAATCTTTAATCAGAGCTGAATATTGACCTTGAACCCTCTTCAAGGTCTGCACTGGTGTTTCCTTCGACTATCAGTCACAGAGCAAGGAAAGGGGAATCAATATGCCAAGAACGCTCTGTCTATCTCTTCCCCCTTCCCATCTATTTTCTATTCATATTTCTAACTCCAAGAATTAGGAAGAAGTAAAAATACACTTTCAGCTCTGATTTTTCCATATTCAGGAAGAAAACAAACATTTGACTACATTTTCTACTAAGCACTGTTCAGTGTGAGATTAGTATGTGAAGATGAATGCTTATATAAAAACCATTAATTTTCATTGTTTGCCTGCAGGTGCACAAGGACAATAGGAATGTTTAACCTAACAAGGCCCTCGCAATTCATCCTCTTGGGACTCTCCTCTCGACCACAGGACCAGAAACCTCTCTTTATCCTCTTTTTAGTAATGTACCTTGTCACCTTAATGGGAAACGTGCTCATTATTTTGGCCATTCACTCTGATCCTAGGCTCCAAAACCCCATGTATTTCTTTCTGAGCATCTTGTCTTTTGCTGATATCTGCTATGCAACAGTCATAGTTCCTAAAATGCTGATGAACTTCTTATCAGAGACTAAAAGTATTGCTTATGCTGAATGTCTAACACAGATGTACTTCTTCCTAGTCTTCGGAAACATAGACAGTTATCTTCTGGCAGCTATGGCCATTGACCGCTATGTAGCTATTTGTAATCCCTTTCACTATATCACCATTATGAGCCATAGACGCTGTGTGTTGCTACTGTCCTTCTCTATTGCTTTCTCCTGTCTTCACTCCCTCGTGCATGTCCTCTTGGTGAATCGGCTCACCTTCTGTGCTTCGAATGTTATCCACCACTTTTTTTGTGATGTCAACCCCGTGTTGAAACTGTCTTGCTCTTCTACTTCTATCAATGAACTTGTGGCCATGACAGAAGGGATGGCCTCTGTAATGGCTCCATTTGCCTGTATTGTCATCTCTTATTTGCAAATCCTCCTCACCGTTCTTAAGATCCCCTCAGCTGCTGGAAAACACAAAGCCTTCTCCACCTGTAGCTCCCATCTCACTGTAGTGACTCTGTTTTATGGAAGCATTAGCTATGTCTATTTCCAGCCCTTGTCCAGCTATACTGTTAATAACCGGGTAGCAACAATCATGTACACTGTGCTGACATCAATGTTAAACCCATTTATCTATAGTCTCAGAAACAAAGACATGAAACGGGGCTTAGGAAAACTGATCATCAAGATTAAGTCTCAAATAGATAAGCTTTCTTCTACAGAACCTAACAAAATTGGTGGCTCCTGATTATAAGGTGTGTGTGTGTGTGTGTGTGTGTGTGTGTGTGTGTGTATAAAAGCATACCGTCCAAGTCCTTCTTATTTGCTAATTGTTTTTAAAAAGTGCTCTTTCATCATTTGTCCCTGCACCCTGTAGTTTCCCATCTTTCACTGTGTGGTTTTTCGCATTACCTGGTTGAATAGTTCTAGCAAGTTCCTCATTGCAGACTCATGCCATAAAACTTCTGTATTTGAAAACATCACGTACCTTTTTCCTCCTTCCATAGTTATTTGAAATCTCCTATATTCTCTAAATCTTTTCTTCATAGATTCACCTACATCTGGTCACTTGAATTACCAGAGAATTTTTGTACACACATAACGATCTACAGATGCATATATTTGTCGAGTCACTCTGTTGTATTTGAAGCTGTTAGACATTGTTTGCAGGGATATCTGTGTGCATGTGTGTGGATCCTCTCTATCAAACTAAGAGCTCCTTGACTGCACTGTCATCTGTGTTCCCCACTCACATCATGAAAGAAATATTGATTGCTCCATCTGTTGCTTCTTCCAGTAGCTGAATGCCCTGGGTTCTGAAGTCACTCTCCCACTGCCATTGAGTCAATACTGATCCATAGCAACTCAGTGGGACAGGGTAGATCTGCCCCTGTGAGATTCTGAGACTGTAATTCTTTACGGGAGTAGAAAGCCCCATCGTTCTCCCACAGAGCTGCAAGTAGTTTCCAACTGTTGAACTTTCAGGTCGCAGCCCAACATATAACCACAACCACTATGCCACCAGGGATCCTGTCTGAAGTCATTAGATTCATGAAAAGTAATGTTGATAATCTAGTTGACGTTAGCAAGACAGCTCAATACTTCCACCCATATGGGTCTTTCTCTTCATATGTTCAAGGTACATCCTCTGACTCTTCCTGAGACTCATTGGCTATGTGCTTTTCTCTCTAGAGATGCCTATATTTCCAGTCTCTTCTATCCATTTTCTTCAGAGCAAATATTTACTGAAGACAGTCAAAAGTGAATGGGTGAATGTTGAGCCAGCCTTGAGGGTTTGCACACCGAGTCTCCTCTTCCTTTGCTGAGAAAATGTCTCATCCTCTTCATGGAGGCCATTTGGACCCCAAACCCCAATGCTGATCTGAGGCCAAGCAGTAGTGGTGGTCAGCCTCAGTGCATCTTGGGGTCTGAAGGCACGTTGGACCCAAAGGCACCATGAAGATGCTTATTTCTAATACTGGAGACATCAGGCTTACTGAAAAATGAAGATGTGCTGCTTCATAAAATGAAAATTCTAACACTCAACAGCTCCTTAATAGCAAAAGCAGCAACATCCCGGGATAATATAACGTGATAGTTCTACTTCCAAGGACCCAAGCATCAGATTGCTGCTGAATCAGGAGGACCTCTACATTGCTGAAGGTCTGGGCTTCGGAATAATAACTGAAGAATTTGAAGCCTAAATAAATAAACACTTCGATTTTGGAGAAAAAATCAAGTTAGCAAAGAAATGAGCAGAGAAATACTTACAGATGTGTCTAGAACATCTCACACTAAAGTGACGTCCTAACAAAAATGATATTGACTTCATTTTCACCAATTAAAAAAAGATAAGCCTGGTGACCTTTTAATGATTGAAATAATGAGGATTAAACCTCAATCTGAAACCAATACAAACTTAATCAAAGGGTTTGTTCTGTAACATGTGGGCTGGCATCCTGAATGACAACAGTAGAAAATAGTAAATCCATTCTCACATGCAATGTCAATAGACAACAATAAAACCTAAGTGAACTCTGGCTTCTCCTATAAGAGTTCACAAGAGAGAGACGTGCAAAAGCTGAAAGAAATTTTATTGAAGATAGAAATAAAAATTAACGAAGCTAAAAAAGAAAGTCTACTGTGATTCAAATAAAGGATTTGTTGCTAGTAATCCAGAAGGAATTAATGCTTTTTCCTTAGATTCCCTTGAAAAAGAGGGCATAGTAGTTCTGGGCAGCGCTAACCAGAGACCTATGGAAAGGTGGGTGCTTGTGTGTGATGGGATGACTTTAAGGTTTTTT